CCTCTAGCATATATTTTTCTTATAAATAAAACATTAGGTCATCGTCATCAGCGACATGTTTGTCTTGTTAATTTGTTTTTTTACAAAACAATCAGAAATAAATTACTTTTACAATTACAAATAACAACAAATGGGATTGGGTCCTGTTCATAACCATTAATGATTTGGCTCCTAAATAATACTTTCAGTCTAAATAGACTTGTACAATATTTCAGTGCATCATTACAGTTATTCCACAGACTAACACCTTTTGATGAGATGCAATGCAGTTTGGCATTTGTTCGTACGGGTGGTTTTTTGAAAATGCAGTTTCCTCTCAACATGTGCATGCTTTCTCTCTGTGTGAAAAGTCCCTGGATATTTGTAAGGTAGGTAATTGTTGATTTGCGGCTTTGAACATAATTTGAATAGTTTTACCAGGTCTTGTAGTTTTAGTGTTTTTAGTTTGATGAACAATTTATTTGTTGGTTCTCTGTAGGTAGTTTTATGTATAACTCGTATGGCTCTTTTTTGCAGGATGAAGATAGGATGTGTATTTGTTTTATATGTGTTCCCCCAAACTTCCACACAATACATCATGTATGGAAGTATGAAGGAGCAGCACAGCATAAACAAAGAAGCTTGATTAATTAGGTATTTGGCTTTATTCAGAATTGCTATTGATTTGGACATTTTGGCTTTGATATAGCTTATATGTGGTTTCCAACTTAATTTATTGTCTATGATTACTCCAAGGAATTTTATTTCCGATACTCTTTCTAATTGGACGCCATTTATAGTGAGTTTCTTCTATGTATTGGTCGATCGATTCCCAAATATTATGAGTTTGGTTTTGCTTGCGTTCAATGTTAATTTATTTTGGTCAAACCAGATCTTCATCCTGCTCAGTTCCTTTTCCATTGTGACCAATAGCTGTTCTAAATCGTCCCCACAGCAGAGTAGACTTGTGTCGTCTGCAAAAAGAATGGTTTTAATCATTTTTGATACTTCACATATATTGTTAATATACAGAATAAATAGTAATGGCCCCAAGACTGAGCCCTGAGGCACCCCACATGTAACCTGCAGTAGTTGTGATTTATGGCTTTGTAGTTCAACGTACTGTTCCCTGTTATGTAGGTAGCTGGATAGCCATGATAGTGCAACACCTCTAATGCCATATCTCTGTAGTTTTTTAACTAATAATTCATGGTCAACCGTGTCAAATGCTTTTTTAAGGTCCAGAAATATCCCTATTGCATATTCTTTCTTTTCTATTGCCTTAGTAATGTGTTCCATAAATTCTATAACTGCAAATGATGTAGTTCTGTTTGCTCTGAAACCATATTGTTGTTCATAGAGTATGTTATGTTTGGTGATGAAGTCATTTAGTCTTGTATAGTAGATTTTTTCCAGTATTTTAGAAAACTGTGAGAGCAATGAAATTGGTCTATAGTTTGACAGTACATGTTTATCTCCAGATGTATGTATTGGTATGACTTTGGAGTGGTGCAGCATGGAACATAGTGGAGCGGCACCACAGCCGTGCATTGCACCCCAATGCCTCTCCTTAGCAAAGAGCCCATTTTCCATCATCTATCTTGGGGCCCATTTTGCTGAACAAAGTCTGATGAAGAAAATATGTCTCCTGGGTCCTCATGACCTTACAGCCTCATCTGAAAGCATTACAGTCCTCTCAATTAACATCGGACTGGTTCACAGCTCAGAGCACTTTAGCAAATGCTCCTTATGTGCAATATGACGTGATAATTGCCATATAAGAATAGTCTTGGTAGTTACATGCATATCTATCCAAATTTGACTGAAGTATTGTAAAATTATTCCTGTGTAGGCACTGTAAAGCTCTTGCTAATATCCATGAGAAAGATATTGTGTATCTGTTTTCATGCTCTAACCTTTATGTGATGGTTGGCAAGAAACAAATACCTACAGGGATCTTTAAAGTATTACTATAAGAACAAAGTATCTTAAAATACCAGCAAACTTCAAAATGTTAAAGAGGCATCATGTTTTCAAACTTAAATTGAGTCAACACATTGAGTAGAGGACAATTCTTTTGTGGGCAGTGTTATGTTTGTGTTTTTAGACTACACTGAAAATGCACTAGCTCCCCCCAGTGTACAGAATTAGCTTACATACAGCATCTTGTAAGTGTATCACATACTGGATTGGTGGTGTTGTGTTGCTTCGTGTCATTATTGTAAACAGAGTCACCATGATGTCAATGAGAAAGGTTCAGGTTACAGTGCCTTTTTCTGGGTCAAACTACTTAGGTCACTAATGGGGAAAGTGTCCAAAATGTACCATCACAGTCAAATCAGCCACACATACACTCACATTTTTACACACACACAAGCGCATCCTTTTTTATTACATTAACCTTTTCTGTAGCTGCGAGGGAGCACACAGTGGGAATGAGTCACCGCTTAACAGCATTGGATTATCCGCTTTTGATTGTATCTCACGCCTGAGACAACAAGATCACGATATATCACATCAGAGTATCTGTCAATGTCATCTGAAAGAGCAGAGCCCGCTGAAGGTCACCTCTGCCTTCATGATGTCATTCCATTCAAACTAGGGATACACTTGAACCTGCTCAAAATGTGGTTTTATTTCAGGTTTTTTTTTTTTTTTTTTTTTTAACTTAAACCTCAACAGGCATGCTTTAAAGGTTCCATGTCATGCTTTTCCGGTTATTACCCGTTCCCTTGTGTGTTATGAAGGTTGTTCTGCATGTAAACGGTCTGCAGAGTCACAAACCCTCAAAGTACACCCTGTAAGGCCCTGTCACACTGTCCCGAAATTGACACCCGATGGACACACGATAAAGGAAATGTTCAAATTCGGCTGTGATCGTAGCAACATCGGGCCATTCGTCAGGGCATCTTAAGCCATCCTATGAGTTTCTCAGGCTCCGGCAGCAACTTAGTGAGCGGCAACTTCGTAAGGCACTCGTGAGGACATCTTGTCAAATCGTGTCATCTTCGTGTTATCATCGGTGCCATCGGGCATTCGCCCTCACTCTGATCGGGGCGAATGCCCGATGGCACCGATGATAACACGATGCCCTCACGATGGCCTTACGAAGGGCACAATTGACACACGAATTCAACACGAAAATGAACCTTCGCAAGGTCCTTCGGCAATTTTTTGGCATGCCAAAGATTTTGCCACCGCTCACGAAGTTGCTGCCGGAGCCTGAGAAACTCCATCGGCGGTCATACGATGGCTTAAGATGCCCTCACGAATAGCCCGATGTTGCTACGATCACAGCCGAATTTGAACATTTCCTTTATCGTGTGTCCATCGGGTTGTTTTATTGCACAACAAAATCATGTAAATATATTATGTAAATAACCCAATTTGTGTTCTGTGAAACTAAAAAGGATATAATATATTATTTTGAAGGACAGTTGACAGGAAGTTGTTGTTGTTATGGAAACAACATTACGGAGAAAACGTAATATTTTCTACATATAACGACGGATAAAGTAAAGAACAAAGTCTGAAGATATCAGTACAGTATCATAGTACTGTAACACAATTGTTTTTGGTACTTTCATTGCAGTTGTATGTCTTAAATGTAATGTAAATGTTGCCTTCGTGTGTGGTTCGGGGCCATCATCGTGCGAAATTCACAATTCCATATTCGTGTGTCCATCGGGTGTCAATTTCGGGACAGTGTGACAGGGCCTGTAGCGAGTAAAACTCTAACACAGAAAATACCTGTCTATGCTGGTCCCAGAACTCCTCGTTGGAGATTTATCTTTTTCCATTTTTTTCTTCCTAAGTATGGTGACGTGACCATACCCAGGTCCAAATGGACCAATCCGTGGAGCTCCTCACTCACTCAGCCTGATCTTTTCTCAGCCGCAGCTCCGTGGATCTCCACTCACAGTTCGCCACACACACACGTGAGGCTGAGTTCCGCGGTGTCTCGCTGTCTCGCTGTCTCGCAGACCCCACGCAGACACCAGTAATCCAGCTCACACTGTCCACTCCTCGAGCCTCAAAGGGCGGAGCAGCGAGCCTCGCAACGTCCCGCCAACACGGCCCCCAGACCCCACGCAGCATTCTCAGTTTGTCATTACTGGTGTCCTTTTCTGGTTGCTATCAAACACCATTGTAACACATAAACACACATCAGAGCAGTGGGCTCACAGGGAGGGGAGGGGCAGGAGCTCCAACAAGCCGTGTAGGACAGAGAGTGAATACACATACTATACAGAGATGCTGTGCTGCTGTATGAGAAACCAATGTGAGTTTGGAACATTGAACAATGTAAATATATTCTAGTAGACCTCAACAATGGAATTATGATCAGTAGAAATGGCCATGACATGGGACCGCTTTTATCCAAAGCGACTTACATACTCAGTACTGTGGACAATCCCCACAGGAGCAATTTGGGGTGAAGTGTCTCAGGGACACAACGACATGCTGACTGCAGTGGGGTTTAAACCTGTGACCCCCTGATCCAAACACCAACGCACCAATCCACTGCGCCACAGCCACAGGCCCAATATCGGCCTTTATGAATGCATGAATCATTCTTGATTAAAACACCTATGTTGCATGGCTCATGTTATTTACTGATAAGTAAATTCACATAAAAAGCCACAAGAAATAATACAATGGATAAACAAATTATTATTACTGTTAAATATGTATAGACACATGCAAGAGAAGTTTAGTGATGTTGCCTGCAACTGTTCAAACGGCGAGGTCACTGGAGCATAGGTCAGGATGCAGAATATGGTGAGTAATGATTTATTTATCTAGTTTGTTCAACCTTTGGTTAACCCAAGTGTCATTGAGGTTAAAAATGCTCTTTTACAAGAGAGTCATGGCAACAGCAAAGTTTCAAACAACAAATGAAAAACAAGAACAGAGATCATATCATAGTCCCGATCAGAAACGTCATCGTACGAAGCATCTACAGACAGAGTTGCCTGCTTCATGGTTATTAAGAAGCACTTTATTTAGGAGGTACTCACCAGGCTGGAGGTGAGGGAGGGGTCTGACTTCCCGAGGTACAGGGAACTCATGCGAACCAGGTTAGAGGTCTCCGATGCGGTGTGTGTCTGCTGGGGAGCGGTGGGCAGCAGGAGGTACTTTCCTGCAGAGCAACAACAGGACAAGGTCAGTTAATGTTTTGCAATTTTGGGGAATTTTGCAAGACAGATTCCCCCCCAAAACTTCTCAGATAGCTGAATCTGTATGTTTGTTTTTTACTGGTGGAAATTAGAGGGTCATTTATCGATTATTTCGCAAATATATTTTATTATTTATTATTAAAAATAAATAAACTACAAATTTGAGAAGCACAAATGTGTATCCTTCTTTACCCTGCTCCAATTGTCTCATATCCCCAAAATAGGTTTTGTGACCCTTACACATGGGATGACTTTTACATTGGAATCCACCAGATGAACAACAACTGTACAGAAGCTAGAACTAATTCAACTAGAGCCAGCTACAACAGTGAAATGCTATTTGCACATTAATGCATCATAATTAAGTAATAAATAGTAATACACCAGTGAGAGGGGCCACTTTTCTACATATTGAGTATTATATAATAAATTCTTTGAGGAGCATTTTTGCAATGTATTGGTACTTTTACTTTAGTAAGGGATCTAAACCAGGGGTTCCCAACCTTTTTTCCCCAAGAGCCCCCCCAAATGACTCCTGTTGGAAGTTGCGCGCCCCCCCCCCCACACACACACACACACACACAAGGTGGGGGGGGGGGGCGCAACAGCGGTAATTAAAGTTTATAAGTCTCAAATTGCTACAACTACATGTACTGTCACAAAATGGATGAATGAAGTATTTTGTTAAAGGAGGATGAAAGCGTAATTAAGGAGCACTATTGGAGTAACTTTGATGGTTATTGGACTCAGGATTAATTCATTTGGATTCCTGCTGTATGAAGAAATTAAAGGACGGCGCAAGTGGAAACAATTCACAAAGGGATTCAACTGTTTAAAACACATGCTCAAAGTAAGCTGGATTTTGCCGATGTGTTTATGTGGATTCAAAAGTCGTAAATAATCTACAAAATGGAGGAGACCGATCTGATCGGAGCAACTGTGACAAATAATCCAACTGAAACCGGCATGGACAATGATTATGTTTTAAAAATGCGCTTATCCAGACAAGCCTGGTTTGGACACCTTACGCGCAGAAGAAACATTTCTATTAAAGAAAGAATTATACATTTCTGTCTTTTTATGCCTTTAGCTACTAACTTGAATTTTTATTAAAATTAATTAATCAATTATTTTTTATATTTTATTGTAATGTAGAGACAAGGCTTTTAGCGACAATCATGTATTGCATTACAATTATATGTAATAAAAAAAAAAGTCTAAATATGATATTTGGCCTCAAATCATCTGAGGCCTGGCGCGCCCCCTGCGATCTTTGGGCGCGCCCCGCAGGTTGGGAACCACTGATCTAAACAGTGTTTTCACTATACTGTGAGGTTGTGAACAAGATTTGTCGCACGACTGTAAATTCAAACTGTCATTAGTTATCACAGTACCACCCCTGACTTATAACAAGAGGGAATAAATGGAGGAGACAGAACTGACATACAGGTGACATAAGATAATCCTTGCCGTCTGCTCTTCTTAGGAGTGCAGAGCTAAAGGCTCTGACTGTGCAGCAAGGCAGGGTGACAAAGGGTTAAATACGGCCAGAGGGGGAAAACATTTAGTCCCATAATACATAATCAAAGCACCAGCACTGCACTGCGACTAAAGTCTGAGGATGATAAGAAGAATGATTCAACAATACGTTTTATTATCAACAGGAGCTCTGCACAAAAGTATCGTTTGTGAAACTGAGATCAGATCTCCTCTTTAGCTCTCAGTGCTGGCCCCTAGATGGCACCAAAAGCTCTTTTTATCTGCCCTCTTCGTTAAACCTTAGTGCATCAAGGTAAAACAACGATTAAAACATGACATAAACAGCCTCAGTATCATTATCAGCAGATCTTAATGTGCACCTGGCACATGGATTGAATAATTATTTGTTGAAGTGTTCTCATCCTTTATCCACGTGTATATATTTCCATTTCCTGTTTAAGTTAACACTCGAGGAGACGGGAGAGAATTTAGAAAACTTGGCTCAGTGAAGTAAGGCAAGATATCCAGACTGTGCTCAGAACATAAAGGAAATATCTCAAGTTCACATGAGATATAAGTCAAACATCCAATGTGTTACGCTTTTATAAACTGTAGAAGGCATTTCTATAAATTCACGGTCCCGCTATTGCTGTAGGTGTTCATTTAGAGGTGGAAGACTGATATCTTTCCCCAATATAACAGTAATATGAGTTTTGTAAATGTAGTATTGCATGAAAAATGCAGTTTAGGGACGCTCTGGTGCCTCTGCAGATCGAGTCTTGCAGGAGACCTATCTTTTTCTACACTCATTTCCTGTCAACTCTATCAACTGCTGACTCAACTGTTGACATTAAATGCCCACAAAAACACTTAACATTAAATAAACAGCTTAAAGCTACAGCTGTTTGCCTTTGCACAATAACACTGCTGCTGGTTATTTAAAAAAAGGGTGTTATTTCTCACTCCTCTTCAGATAATTGCAAAGAATATCACTTTTTTCTGGACCTGGATCTAGTAGTTACTGCAGTAACTACTAGATCCAGGGTTACTAGATGCAGTGCTACAGTTATCTCTATAGTTTCAATGATGATCACTGAAGAATTGAAGGGAGACCAAACCGGATGAGGAGGGAAAACTGTGGTCTTTCCTTCCTTACTGGCAAAAGATTTCCTCACTTAAGCCATCACATCCCGGCATAAAGGAAATCTCTCATCAACACTGTTAGAAAGGGGGTGTCAGGAAAAATGACATCTTATGTTTGGTTTACTTTATTTGCTAGGCGAGTAGAAATGTCATGCGAGAGGATCAAACAACTCAAAAATGTGATGTTTTCAGAAAATATTATCTTAAAATGAAGCTTTACACTTCTGGAGGGCATCCTGTGTGTTCATTATCTGCTGCCTGTAAAAGATGATGCAACCTTATAAGGTTTATCAGATTTGTTTTAATAGTGACGCACGCTGTCCTTTCTACCCTCTCAAGGACAGGTTAAAGTGACAGGCTTTTTACTGTCATTACCACTTTACTTTTTTTTTAAATAAATCAATCAAACTAAAATCATTCATCCCCATTAAAGAATTATTACGTAATCTACAGGTGACAAATTGACATTAGTTTGTAGTCATTAATGTAATTAAAAAAATACAGAAAGAAATGTGTTTTTCCACTGTTGTCGACCACTTAAAATACGTGTTAAAGCTTGGAAACAGTGTAAATATTATGCGAAACCCCACAGTAAAATATATAAATATAGGGACCATCTGCTTTACAAATGCATCAATCTGGCATCTAAAGCAACAAAAATACTTGTCCTGAAAATCCTGAAATAGGGAGCAAAATAATTACCTGTGAGGCCACCCCCTAGGCTCCTCCTTCGAAGGTATTTTCCATCCTCATTGAGGTGTAGTTTAAATTTGAGAGCAGAATTCAATCCATGAGACAACTCTGGGTCACTGGACTTCCTGAGGTATGTGGAGGGAGGGTAATGGATGTCGTCCAACTGGAGGAGAAGATGGAAAACAATCAGTGGGTTCAGAAACATTTTGTTTAAAAAAATATAAGGCATTTATCAGTGTGCTTCATACATTAGTTTGAGGAGACGTTATTCTATTTGTGGAAGAAGTATTTATATTTTATATTTCTCAGTCTTTAATTCATTCAATCAGTCAAGTCAGACAGTTTCAGAAAATAAGTTCTGACACCTTAAAAAAGTAACACGGAACTAAAAAGCCATATTAACACGGTAACAATCCTTGATACCTGCTGAAACGACAACAACATCAACATAATGAGGGGTTTGCCAACATGTTGTGGAGAGAGAAATAAGAGAGGCAATCTAATATATAATATACTTGAAGAAAATCTAATATGAGCAATTGGCAAAGTACACATTTGTGAAACGAGATGAACTTATATAAATGTCAGGAAACCCTAAAGGGAGGACTCAAATCCTTAAGGAGGGGGATTTCCAGGGTGTTCTCTATAATGTTCAGCTCACTGCTAAGCACAACATGTATGAATCACTTTCTCAATCCAAGTCAGCTGTGTGGCTTTTTATTGAGAAGCAGGACACTCTAAGCAGCGGGCAGATATCATAACAGAAATATTGCAAGTATTAGTAAAACATATAACCATACAATGCTCATGAATAACAGGTACACATTAAGGAATATGGATGGTCAGTAACACATTTCCACATCACAGCGGGAACAGGTTGCACTAGCCTATTGTATTCTCAGGAGATAATGACCTTCAGACGAGAGCACAATGCCCGGTGGTTAGGAAGAGGCCCTCCCTGAGAATACAAAGACATACATGGCTCAGAGCATTCTGTGGAAGGAAATAGCCTGCCCTCTGCCTCTCTATGGAAGGATTCATGATCCCAGCACAGCGAAGGACAACTGAGACCTCTACAACTCGTTTTGGGGTGGCTTGCCCTCTGAATGACTGAAGCAATCTAGAGCAAAAGTGACAGAGTTCCCCCACGAAACAAACCAACAAGGGTAATGCTTTTCAAAATGGCCGACATAGAAAAAAACAGACTTTTATGCAGTTTATCTACAGTCATCAATTCTACTAACAACTTCAGTCATGAGGCAATTGATCTTTTGCTGCACAACCTAAAGTCAAATAGACAGCGCAACATCAGGATCTCATGACACCGACATCCCAGAGCTCTGCAACAGTCTTCTTCATTGTTTGTCTGAAACATGACTATGTGATATTGCTGTGCATGCATGTACACACCTGTTGCAATGGTACTTAGATAGGTTAATGATGAAGGGAAAAGAAACAGGCAGCCATGAGCAGGATGGTGGAACATGCACTCCACTGTTATGTCCTAACGCAGACTCTATTTATGTTACGGTGGCACTTTACAATGCATGGTGACATTTCATGTACGGTAATGTACAGCATGTATTCACAGAGACATTTGTTGTATTACCTCCACTGTGGTAATAAAAAGACAACTGAATAAAAACGTTCCAACTATGCAAGACGGTGTTGTAAAAAAGTGAACTTTTCGAACAAGTTGTTTCCTCGGTATTACTTTTTTTGAGTTGGTTCAAACTGTATTTTGTATTACAATGTATTCACTGTCAAACTACAATGAATCCTTTCACAACAAGCAGAATAACAACAGTCACAGGCCCAACATCTAATATTTGAGCTATAACACTATTGAGGCTGAGATGAACAGCTGTGACAGCCAAATGTCCATTTGCACCTTTGGTTCCAAATATTTGATTAAATTGCAGTTTGTAATGAGTTTTCAGAAGAAGAAAACAAAAGTTCATCATCTCCATCGATCATTTACTCATTATCTACAAAAAAAAATTATATTTGTGTTATTGGTTTAAAATATATTTTTTTTAATTGTATACAAATGTTAGGTCTAAACAGGTACTTTATATAAGCTGTGTAACAGTTGCAGAGGACTATTCAATATTTACTAGCTTGAGATGCAACCCATTTGAATTGAGTCATGTGTTAATCTCCTAAAAGTTTGAATTTAAAACTAAATGGTGCAACCATCTCCAGATACAAAACTTAAAGGCATCTTTCCTTAGTGCAGGTCACTATGATCTGTATGCCTGGACAGCAAACAGTGATACCATGTCCTGACGGAGGACGGAGGACAGTAGCTTTGCTAAGTGACTGCAGGGTGCCCATGTGCACTGTTTCTACATCACTGAGGAAGTCAGACGCATTTCCTCCAAGATGCTGTGTTTCATAATATATCTCAGCTTACGCTGTCTTTAATCAACTTCTTTCCTTCAACACAGCGACAGTATTTTCAGCATTAGGGCCTTATGTGTTTTCATTGTTGCATAGTTGTAAAATAAAAAGCCAGATGACGAGAAGATGTTGGTGGTGTTTCTGTTGTGGTTGATTGATTTTGAATCCATAAAGCAGTCCATTTGATCATTATTTGACTATACCCTTAAAAGGAAGTGAGATAATCACCAACTGCATCTCGCTATCTGTGCACTGGTCGAAAGTCTGAAATTGAAAGGCATGCAATATATTTTGTTTTGACATTTGTTTTTCAAATGACTGTGGAAACATGAAATATCAGTATTTTTAAAAGAAAAACAGAAATACTTTGAGCAGTGGAATTCAGAAAATGCTTCATCCATTTACAGTAAAATAGATTTCTGCCTAGAATACTATGGTAAGGCAGAATACAGTGCAATCTCTGAGCATTCTAACCCCAACAACAATAAGCTGTAGAGGCCTTGGAATCAGTTGTTGCACCATAACAGATATACGAGCCTGTGAAAACTGTGAAAGGCTAGAGTTTCATTTCATATATTTGTTGACTGAGCTTGGCTATAATTATCAGCTAATTACATTTGAGTTATCAGAAAAATGATATTTCCTGTACCATGCATAATTGGATTCAAGACACTTAAAGAAGACAGCTGAAAGTAAGATAGTACAGGATATTAGTCAGATTTTGGATTGTCCAAAACATCTCCATTGATTTTAAAAGTGTGCGTCAGTCCTTGAAATGCACATTTGATTATATATGAAACACTGCAGCTAGTCAACATTTAGCTCGCTGTGTGCACAGCGGGTAGCACACACGTACGTCAGTGCCCTTTCACCTAGCATTCCTCCCTTCCTGCAGCAGAGAGCCACGCAGAGCTCCTGAGAGCCAGATCAAACCCGAGCTGCCCCTCTCTCCTTCCTCTCCCCACCCTCAGCTTCACACAGTGGACAGTACCAACAACCCTTTGTTGTCAAAGCATAGAACAGACACCAAACAAGATACAAAGATGATGGACTGCACATTGCACAACAAAAACAGTCAGTCTGAAAGATGAAGCCTTGTATAGAGCCCTGTATAGAATATGGGACAAAGAAAGGCCTTATATCTATATTGCTATGTTTTGGTTTATTTGCCGTTACACTACTAATACCGAGTCTATTAGTTAAAATACAACACTATCCATTTATTTGTACCTATATGCACTATCTAGCATCTTGAAGTTCATGATACCAAGATAACCACCCCTTCCTGTTATCAAAACTTGCATGAAAATAAGGCATTATTCTGATCATGAATACTTTGACACCTACAAAGACAAATGTTTTTGGGGTGCTTGGGGGAAGCAGAAACAAGTTGTGAGATAACTGACCTATATTATTAAAAGTAAAAATGGATATGGCGCATAGTAAACAGTTACATAATTACACATCCTGCAGTAACAGAGCAAGAATAGCATGTGTGTGGCTGACCAAGTGGTAAATGTTACTCCATCTTTATGCTATGGTTTTGGTCTCGACCAACCACTGAGGGAAATATCTGTCTTTAGCTACAATATGCTTTAAATGGAGGCAGAATCATTGGAAATAAGGAAAAGCACAAGCACACAAACCAGTGAATCAATAAAGACAATATGCAAGTGAACAGAAATGAAATGCATATAAGGAATGGTTCACGCATATTGTGAATGAACTGAGCAAGAGCCGAGCAAACACAGCAGAAGTTGAACTCCTGCTGATGACCTTTATCAACCTAGATTACAAGGACTACATAGACTGGAGGCAGGTAAACACAAATCAAAGACGTTCAAACGCTTTTTCTATACGGCACACACAGCTACCAAAACAAGCTGAAAGCAGAAGGACAGAGCAGCAGGAAGAGTTGTTTATACTACAGCCACTTAGCATGGTTCTGCATTACAAAGGTAAGGGTTGAGTCATGATTTCAAATTCAAAAAAACATAACAAAAGCTGATCTACAAAGGGAGAATTAGCAAACGCATTCACACCCAGGATATTCATTCCCTTTAAGGATTTGAGGGGAAGTGTTGTTTATCATTTCACTGAGATGGATTAAAGGACCATTTATAAGTGGGAACACAGTGTTATTAGTGTCTTTCATTGGTTGCTAAGCCACAATGAATACACAATGTAAAACGGGAACATAGAGCCCATATATCAAGAGGCTTTACTCTAGAGCTGCTTCCAGTCATCGCTGTCCTTTGTTTCACTCATCGTTCTCCCTGCCAATGTTTTTCTGTCATATCCTTTTCTGACCAACAACTGAGAATAACAAGGATTAGTAATAATCTAATCACATTTGTTTTTCACACAAGCTTACACATTCATCTAAATTATAAGTGTTGCTCCGCCAAGCAAGGTTAAGGTCTACATCAGTGTCTGTCCTAAATGTCAATGCTTCACCATTCTGTCCAATTAGACCTTTTTTTTCTTTCTTTTTTTTATAAATCATTGTACTTGGTGTGATGAATTATTGAGTTGTGGCAAGAACTTGTTTTGTGTGGTTACAGTGACAGTTGACCAACAATATCTAATTAGAATATCCTCGATTACAGACGCTTGTGCCAAACTTGAATACATTAAAGAGAACAGGACAGACAGAACAACCAAAAACCATGCCAGGAGCCACAACTGGCGCCCACACAAATGCATTACATGCTGTTTTTAAAACCAAAATATGTGTGCTTCCATGTTGTTCCATTTAAA